TGTCTGTCTGTCTGTCTGTCTATCTATCTATCTATCTATCTATCTATCTGTCTGTGTGTCTGTCTGTCTGTCTGTCTATCTATCTATCTATCTATCTATCTATCTGTCTGTGTGTCTGTCTGTCTGTCTGTCTATCTATCTATCTATCTACAATACAATACAATGTTTATTTATATAGCACATTTAAAACAACCAAAGTCGACCAAAGTGCTGCACAGAGTATGCAAAACAAAACAAGTCAACAAGTTAATAAACAATAAAGCACAAACTATAAAACACACACTGTAAAATGGATGAGGTTCACTAAAATAAAGGATCATTGCACAGCAATTAAAAAAATATTAAATGCCAAGGAGAAGAAATAAGTTTTAAGAGTAGACTTAAAAATAGATAGAGTTGAGGCAGTTCTGATATGAATTGGGAGACTATTCCACAACTTACGGCCAACAACAGAAAAAGCACGATCACCTCTGTTTTTGAGACGTGCCCTGGGAACTTGCAATAAACCAGAATCAGCGGATCTGAGTGCTCTTGACTGAGTGTATGGATGTAACAAATCAGATGGATACTGTGGAGCCTGATTAGGGAGAGATTTATAGACAAACAGTCAAATTTTAAAATCAATTCTATATTTGACTGGCAGCCAATGCAATGAAATCAAAACTGGTGTGATAGACTCATGATTGCGCTTCCCATAAAGAAACCGAGCCGCTGCATTCTGAACCAACTGCAGACGAGAAACACATGACTGAGGAGCACCGATATCTAATGAGTTACTGTAATCCAATCGAGATGTTACAAAAGCATGCATAACCATTTAAAACTTCTTTAGAGACAAAAATGGCTTAACCTTTGTCAGAAGACGAAGATGATAAAAACAGGACTTGACCACCGCACTTATCTGCTTATCAAATTTAAGATTATTATCGAACCAAACACCTAAGTTTCTTGCAAATGTAGTTCTATATGGAGTAAGAAGTTCAGATTCAAAATCATGTACACAGTGGTCATTTGAGCCAAACAAAAAAAAATCTGGTTTTACTTTCATTGAGGTTTAGGAAATTACTTGTATGCCAACGTTTCAGTTCGTCCAGACAATCTAAAATAGGCTTTAAAGCCTGTTTGTTATCACGCTTCAAAGGGATATTGATTTGTGTGTCGTCGGCATACAGATAAAAAAGAGACCCCATACTTTTAAAAAATAGATCCTAGAGGAAGCATATAAAGAGAAAACAGTACCGGACCAAGAATCGAGCCCTGAGGGACACCAGACTTTAAATATATCTTAGATGAGGATTGGTTTCCAATACTAACAACATACAGTACCTCCTATTAGTGAGATATGAACGAAACCACTGCAACACCGTGCCCTGAAGGCCAACACATGTTTCAGGACGTGATATAAGTGTATTATGATCAACTAAATCAAAGGCAGAACTGAGGTCTTAACAGAACCAAAGCCATAGACTGCCCAGAGTCAGTAATTAGCACAATATCATTCAAAACTCTTAAAAGAGCGGACTCAGTACTGTGACAGGATTTAAAACCAGATTGAAATTTTTCAGAGATTAAAATTGATAGTCAAATAAGACTGTAGTTGATTTAGAACCACTTTCTCTACAATTTTGGAGAAAAAAGTCAAGTTTGAAATAGGACGAAAGTTAGCCAGTAATGTGGGATCCAAACTTGGTTTTTTAAGATGAGGCCACACCGTGGCAAGTTTAAAGTCGCCAGGTACAGTGCCAGTATAGAGGCATTTGTTAATAACAGACAACAGGTCAGGGCCAACAGTCTCAATAATTACATCCTGGGGACACGTAGTAGGTTTCAGAGTAGACATAATCTCAATCAGAGTATTCAAGTTTACAGGCTCAAAGACAGACCAGGTGGAAGGGGTGATTGGAATATCTGGCAATTTGTATACGGAGGCATCAAAGATGTAATTTGGGAAATCTTATCATTAAAATGTTTTGCAAAGTCCTCACAAAGAGAGACAGATGTCTCAGGAAACAGATTAACATTTGGATGAAGAACAGATTCAACCGTGGAAAATAGGATATTTGGCTTATGGCTATTTCTTAAAATTAACTCCGAGAGATAACTACACTTTGCAGCCTCAGCAGCTCGCTGATAGGCAGAAAGAGAGTCACTTAAAATGTCATATGACACTTATAGTATCTATCTATCGCTCTGTTCCACTGTTCTGTTTGTCTGACTAGATCTGTCTGTCTGGACCATGAGAGACAAACACACTCAGGACTCATTCATCATGTTGACGTCAGCGGTGGGACGTGAAGCTCTTCATTCGTTGTGACATCGCTGAAGTAAGAGACCTGCATCCAAACCGCTGTCATCATCGTCTGGACGTCCCATTCCCTATCGCACTCCCACAACACGTCTGTGTGACGGGAAACAAACCGTATTCACTGACACAGCCTGATTATTTAATAAAGCACAGCCACACACACTCACACTCACGATGCGTTTGTGAATCTTTGAAGGAGGATCGCGTTTAAACGTCTCTCAGCAGCAGCGGATATGAACACACACACAGCCCTGAGCGCTAAACACTCCGCGACAATTACCACGTCTCTCACACTGGCGCTCTTCTGCGTCTGTCAGAAATCAGCTGACGTGATCGTATCATAACACAGGTGTGAGTGGATCCAGGTGTGCACTCAAGGAGACCTGATGACTGTGTGCATCTGTCAGCTCTCTCAAGTGTTTACTGTATGCTACGGCTATGTGTGGAATACTAGCGTCCTGCATAGTGTGCAGTATATACTGTGGTATGCTTGTCATGTGATCTCATCTTGCATATGTAATTTATCTATCTATCTATCTATCTATCTGTCTGTCTGTCTGTCTGTCTGTCTGACTATCTGTCTGTCTGTCTGTCTGACTATCTGTCTGTCTGTCCGTCCGACTATCTGTCTGTCTGTCTGTCCGTCCGTCCGTCCGTCCGTCCATCCGTCCGACTATTTGTCTATCTGTCTATCTATCTGTCTGTCCGTCCGTCCGTCCGTCCGACTATCTGTCTGTCTGTCCGTCTGTCTATCTGACTGTCTGTCTGTCTGTCTGTCTGTCTATCTATCTATCTGTCTGTCTGTCTGTCTGTCTCTCTGTCTGTCTGTCTGTCTCTCTCTCTCTGTCTGTCTGTCTGTCTGTCTGTCTGTCTATCTGTCTGACTATCTGTCTGTCTGTCTGACTGTCTGTCTCTCTGTCTGTCTGTCTGTCTGTCTATCTATCTATATGTCTGTCTGTTTGTCTGTCTGTCTGTCTGTTTGTCTGTCTGACTATCTGTCTGTCTGTCCGTCCAACTATCTGTCTCTCTGTCCGTCCGACTGTCTGTCTGTCTCTCTGTCTGTCCGTCTGTCTATCTATCTATCTATCTATCTATCTATCGTCTATCTGTCTGTCTCTCTGTCTGACTGTCTGTCTCTCTGTCTGTCCGTCCGTCCGTCCGTCCGTCCGTCTGTCTCTCTGTCTATCTATCTATCTATCTATCTATCCGTCCGTCCGTCCGTCCGTCTTTCTGTCTGTCCGACCGTCCGTCTCTCTGTCTGTCCGACCGTCTCTCTCTCTATCTATCTATCTATCTATCTATCTGTCTGTCTGTCTGTCTCTCTCTCTGTCTATCTGTCTGTCTATCTATCTATCTATCTATCTATCTATCTATCTATCTATCTATCTATCTATCTATCTATCTATCTGTCTGTCTGTCTGTCTGTCTCTCTGTCTGTCTGACTGTCTGTCTCTCTGTCTGTCTGTCTATCTATCTATCTGTCTGTCTGTCTGTCCGTCCGTCCGTCCGTCCGTCCGTCCGTCCGTCCATCTATCTATGTCTACAATTTACAATTTAAAGAAATCCACTTTCAAAAGGTCATGATGTTTTCAAAGTCAATGAATTGTATTAAATAATCATGATCAAAGTAATGATTAAAATTTTTCTCAGAATCAAGCAGCCCTAGTACACATACTGCATGCAGCAGAAACAGTACTGGTATGGTAATGTGTTACTGTGAACTAATCTCAGGGCTGCAGACAGGAGGCGCCAGAGTTCAGCAAACACCCGCAGGATGTGGCCAGACTCACAGAGAGAATGAAGGAGAGGAGAAATAAGAGAGTCAAATCATCAGGCGTGAGACATGGCGCTGAGAGCCGCTCTGCTGAAGAGTATCTGGTACGCCTTCACGTCCCTGGACACCGAAGACAGCGGCAAAGTGTCCAAATCACAGCTCAAGGTGAGACAGATGTGAGACAGGGGTTTGTGTGAGTTAGATAAGTGTGTAAGTCTCAAAAACTCACTTTAGGAACGTCCACAAAGTTGAAAGTTATTGAAAAAGTAAATCATGTTTTACTTTATACAGTATTTACCTTAATTTATACCTTAAATATAATAACACCTCGTTTATGCATATTATGTGTAAATTGTGTATTTTGTACATTATGTGTTAAGTTGTACTGTTTTTAAGCACACACCCAATGTTTTCACCCATCATTACATCAGTGTATTGTATTTGACTGTAAAGTGGTCTGGTTTGAAGGAGGTTTCTCTTTATGGTTTGTGTTCGTCTGTATCATAAAGTCTTTATATAACAAAGCAGGAGTGCACCCATTTAGGTATCTGAGTTTGTGAAACTTTTGTTCTAGTTAATCTGACTCACACTCTGTGGCTTTAGACAGATCTGCATCAAACAAAAGCTGCAGTCAGACCGTGTGTGTGTGTGTGTGTGTGTGTGTGCAGGTTTTGTCTCATAACCTTCACAGCGTTTTGCGGATTCCTCACGACCCTGCGGCCCTCGAGAGACACTTCAGCGACGATGAAGACGGTCCCGTATCCAGTCAGGGGTACATGCCCTACCTGAATCAGTTCATACTGGACAAGGTACCGCGACACAAGCATACTCTTTCAATGCGCACGAGACTCTTGGTTATGTTTATTTGAAGTATCAGTTTTTTCTCAGATGTTTCTCCTGAACTCAGGTGAAAATAACCCCAAATCCAGTAAGAGTTTAGAGCTATAAAATGAATGTGGAATGTAGTTCAGATCATTAAATATTGGAATTCATATTGAGATCTGACTTTTCGTTGCAGACTTTGGGATCTTGACAGATCTGAGCACTGTTTGAGACATTAATGAGACACAAAAATTGCTCTTTCATAGCTCATATACTTTTCTGGATACGTTTTGTCTCGGATGTTTCTCTTAAAATAAAAAAAGAAAAATGCAAATGAATGTGGAGAGCAGATCAGATCATCTGATGAGAAATGTTTACGTTCATAAGGAGATCTCTGACTTTTCATTGCAGACAAATCTGAGCGCAGTTTGAGACAGTGTTGAGACATGACATTACTAAAGTCTTTTCTCAGGAGAAACTTTAGCAAAAGCACTTTAATAACAGTGCTAGCTTGGAGAAATAAGAGTAGAAATGAAATAAAAAATATTTTATTTGGGAAAAGATTTATGAATTTCTCAGAAATGCATGAGTCAAATCTGAGCACAGTTTAAGACATTGTTGTGAGATCTCTTCTGAAACTCTAGAGGAGATGCATGCGAGATTGATGGGGTCTTCTTCTCAGGAGAAACCAAAGTCTCCATTGAATCTCATTGCTTTCTTGGAGAAATAATGGAGATATCAAAGAGATTTGAGATGTGGAAAAGTGTCTTGCGCAAAGGTATTGCTCACAGGTTGCTCTTGCACAGCTCATAGACTTTTTGAGGTCTCAGAATCTCAGGGAAATCAGGATTTTGTCTCAGATGTTTCTCTGAAAAAGGACAGTTCAAATTAATATTTTCTATGAATATCTATCTATCTATCTATCTATCTTTATAGCAACACTCTAGCAACTAGTCAAATCAACCTAGCAACCACCCTGAGTACCCTAGCAACCACATAGCACCACCCAAGCAACCACTTCGGGTAGCCTAGCAACCACATAGTAACATCCTAGCAACCACCCCAAGTACCCTAGAAACCCCTTAGCAACCACCCCAAGTACCCTAGCAACCGCATAGCAACACGCTAGCAACCGACCTGGGTACCTTAGCAACCACATAGCAACACCTTAGCAACTACCCAGATTATCCTAGCAACCGCATAGCAACACCCTAGCAACCACCCCAAGTACCCTAGCAACCATATAGCAACTCCCAGCAACCACCCCATGTACCCTAGCAACCGCATAGCAACACCTTAGCAACCACTCTGGGTACCCTAGCAACCACACAGAAACACCCTAGCAACCACCCCAGGTACTGTAGCAACCACCCCAAGTACCCTAGCAACTGCATAGCAACACCCTAGCAACCATCCCTGGTACCCTAGCAACTGCCCTAGCAACCATTCCAAGTACCCTAGCAACTGCATGGCAATGCCTTAGCAACTACCCAGAGTACCTTAGAAACAGCATAGCAACACCCTAGCAACCATCCCTGGTACCCTATCAACTGCCCTAGCAACCATTCCAAGTACCCTAGCAACTGCATGGCAACGCCTTAGCAACTACCCAGAGTACCCTAGAAACAGCATAGCAACACCCAAGCAACAGCCCAGGGTACCCTAGCAAATGCATAGCAACACCTTAGCAACCACCCAGAGTACCCTAGCAACCACATAGAAACACCCTAGCAACCACTCTGAGGGCCTTAGCATCTATCTATCTATCTATCTGAGCAGAGTTTGAGACATCGTTGAGATCTGATCTGAAACTCTAGAGGAGACGCGTGTGAGATTACTGGGGAAGAAACCAAAGTCTCCATTGAATCTCATTGCTTCCTTGGAGAAATAATTGCGATTATGTTTGTTGTGTGATCAGGTGATGGAGGGGACGTTCGTTAAAGAGGAAGTTGACGAGCTGTGCTGGACTCTCTCTTCCAAGAAAAACTACCGTCCCGATGCGCAGCGGGTTTTGTCCAATCAGGACGCCATGCGGCTCTGGTGTCTCTTCAACTTCCTAGCGGACGACAGATATCCTCTCACACTCGTGCCGGAGGAGGTGAGCACACACTTATCTGTTTGGTAACATGGTCATTTCAGTTAGGACCACATTTAGGACAGAAGCTATTACAGAACAGCATTTCCTAAGTGTGTTATCTTATCTTAACTACAGACAGGAAAGGGGTATTACAGAAGTGTCCTGCCTTGACAAAAAATCCCCAAAACTGTCTGAACATTGGCTGGTCCAGGGTATGGTTGGTAGACCTGGTTAGTCCATTTCAGTCTAGCTGGTTAGAGCTGGTAAACCACCTTGGACTAGCAACAAACCAGCTAGTGTGTTCCATAAACCAGCCTGACCACCATAAACTCAAAACAGACTCGGTTTACTTCTTCATTCATGTTCCTTGATGTAGTTCTGATCGCAGCCGGCATTTCGACATTTATAAAGATCGAATCACTGTTGAATTTTGTTAAAATGTTGCAAATTACCAATTGATTAATAATAGTTGATTAACATTTATTAAAATTAAGAGTTGATAATAGCAACATTGTTTTGATTTACTTTGTGCTCAGATCTTGTTCAAATTCCACCATTCATTTTATGGTGGAGTATCTTTTTATGTAAATAAGCGTATATATACACACACACACACGCACACGCACACGCACACTCATACACACACACTCACACGCACGCACACTCACACACACACACACACACAC